AAGAGTGAACATCTACACGGACTCCAAGTATGCGTTTTTAACCACTCATGCCCACGGAGCTTTGTATAAAGAAAGAGGACTATTGAATTCAGAAGGCAAAGAAATCAAATACGCAGCTGAGATCCTACAACTATTGGAAGCAGTGTGGGAGCCGAAAGAAGTCGGTATTATACATTGTCGGGCGCATCTGAGAGGAGATGGTGATGTAACCAAAGGGAATCGGATGGCAGATAGTGCAGCTAAGCGTGCTGCTGAATCAGGAAGACAGGAATATGTGGGGCATATAGCTGCTCTTATACCAACTCCACTGTCTCAATGGACTCCAATTTATACAGCTCAAGAAGAGGAGTGGTTAAGGACTGAACCTGGAAAGTATTTGGAGAACAAATGGTATCAGTTAGAAGATGGAAGAATAGTTATTCCAGCATCACTAGCGGTAGAAATTGTCCAAAACTATCATAACGGGACACATTCTGGGAGAGACAGTACAGAAGAATCTCTCAGAAAACATTTCTACATACCAAGATTGTCCAACTTGACTCAGGCCATTGTACGTAGATGTGTAACGTGTGCTAAAAATAATGCAAGACAAGGACCAGTAAAGCCACCAGGAGTCCAGTTTATGGGGGGACTTCCCATGTCCGATTTACAAATTGACTATACAGTGATGCCTAAATCGGGTGGACATCGCTACCTGCTGGTAGTGGTGTGCACCTATTCAGGCTGGGTAGAAGCATGTCCTACTCGTACAGAGAAAGCAGGAGAAGTCGTGAGATTCCTGCTACGAGAAATAATACCCCGATATGGACTACCCTGCTCTATAGGATCGGACAATGGTCCAGCTTTTGTTCATCAGTGCCTACAACAATTGACTCATATGCTTGGTATAAAGTGGAGGCTTCATACGGCATATAGACCCCAGAGTTCTGGTAAGGTAGAGAGAATGAATAGAACTATTAAGAATCAGTTGGCTAAAATGTGTCAGGAAACCCAACTTAAGTGGAACGTTCTCTTGCCCATAGCTCTATTGCGAATCCGTAGTACACCTACCAGAAGGATGGGCCTCTCTCCTTTTGAAATCATGTACGGGCGACCACCTCCCGTGCTTGGTAACTTAAGGGGGGATTTGAGTCAGTTGGGAGAAGGAATTACCCGGCAGCAGGTTGTAGAGTTGGGTAAGACTATGGAGGAGGTACAGAAATGGGTACAAGATAGATTACCTGTGAATATTTATCCCCCAATTCATAGTTACCACCCAGGCGACCAAGTGTGGATTAAAGAGTGGAATAATGTGCCGTTAGGGCCCAAGTGGAGAGGTCCTTATGTTGTTCTTCTGTCTACCCCTACAGCGATAAAAGTAGCCGAAGTGGCTCCGTGGATACATCACTCCAGGGTTAAACCAGCAGCAGCCGATTCCTGGCAAGTTACAGCAAATCCAGAGAATCCCTGCAAGATCCGGTTAAAACGCACGACTCAGTCGGAGTGACGAGGAACCTTGTAGATTACAAATTTTATTGTTTCAGAGACTTGGTAAGTGAGTGAGAAGGCCATAATAAAGCCTGTCCACTCACCAACGAGTGTATAAGTCAGGGAAAGTCTTGAGGGGACCCCTGTGAAGACGAGCAGAACTCCATTCCCTGCAGTCCTTACATCCTGGAAGCTGAGGTGCCTTCACACGGACGAAGACTGAGGATGACGACGAAAGATGTATTTTTAATAATGTTTATTTATGTGTATTTTTATATTCAGGAAGGTAGAGGTACCAACACTCCTAGCTGTGAGGTATGCATTAAGACTACAAGAACAGGTAACCATATATCCCAGACCCTAATTTGGCATTCACAATATGAGTGTAAAGCAGATGTATCAAGATGTAGATACTTAAATATAGAATATAGTGTGTGTCATTTAGGAGTAGGAGAACCTAAGTGCTTCAGTCCTGAGTATCAACCCCGTACAATTTGGTTGACTCTCAGAAATGGAGATTCTCAGGGGACCCTAATTAATAAGACGGTATTAAAATCCGTATATTCTTCAGGTGCTCTGCTATTTGATGCGTGTAAAGCAATATCAAGTGGTAGAAAGCCGTGGAATGTATGTGGGGATCTTAGATGGGAGAGGACGTATGGGTCTAACGATAAATATATTTGTCCCAGTAGTAAAAATAAATATGTAAGTCCAAGATGCCCAAATAGAGATTATAACTTCTGCCCATATTGGTCTTGTGTGGGGTGGGCGACTTGGGGACAGACAGCAGACAAGGACATGATTGTGACTAAGTTGCCTACTAATCCATATTGTAAGTCTATGGAATGCAATCCAATCCATATACTTATAAATAACCCTGACAAGTTCTTAGATAAATATGGTAATTTATTTGGGTTTCAAATATATGGGACGGGTTTAGACCCTGGGACAATATTGTTTATAGGGATAGAGACTGATACGGTAACCTCCCAAACTCATCAAGTATACCATTCCTTTTATGAAGAGATGAGCATAGATAATAAGATCCCCCATAATGCTAAAAACTTGTTCATTGATTTAGCCGAGAGTATTGCCGGTAGTCTTAATGTTACCAACTGCTATGTGTGTGGAGGTACTAACATGGGAGACCAATGGCCTTGGGAAGCAAAGGAGGTAATGTCCGGTTCTGAGACAGTTGACCAATTAATATCTACACAACCCGACTATCATATGAGTGTTAGAGGTAAATCTGAGTGGAGATTGAAGACCTCCATCATAGGTTATGTTTGCATAGCGAGGAAAGGAATGATGTATAATACTTCTGTAGGAGAATTAACTTGTCTAGGGCAAAAAGCTTATGATGATGATACAAAGAATACAACTTGGTGGTCGGCTTCAAATGTCTCAGAACCATCTAACCCGTTTGCAAGATATGCCAATTTAAAGGACGTATGGTTTGATCTATCCATCACATCTAACTGGAGAGCCCCAGCGAATTTGTACTGGATCTGTGGTAAGAAGGCCTATTCGGAGTTACCACAGGACTGGGAAGGGGCATGTGTGTTGGGTATGTTAAAACCATCCTTCTTCTTGTTGCCTATTGAAACAGGTGAGACTTTAGGTGTTAAAGTGTATGATGTGAATCATAGGAAGAAAAGGGGACCCATAGAGATAGGTACCTGGGAAGATAATGAATGGCCTCCCCAGCGTATTATAGATTATTATGGGCCAGCCACGTGGGCAGAGGATGGTACCTTTGGTTATAGAACCCCTATTTATATGCTCAACCGCATTATAAGGTTACAGGCGGTGGTTGAGATCATTACTAACGAGACATCACAAGCGCTCAATCTTCTAGCGAAGCATAATACCAGGATGAGGACAGCAGTTTACCAAAATAGATTAGCCTTGGATTATCTTTTGGCAGTAGAGGGAGGTGTATGTGGGAAGTTTAACCTGAGCAATTGCTGTCTTCAAATAGATGACGAAGGGCAAGCAATAGCTGAGCTTACTAGCCATATGGTTAAACTAGCGCATGTGCCTACTCAGGTATGGAAAGGGTACAATCCAAGTAGTTGGTTTGGTAGCTGGTATGAGTGGTTTGGAGGGCTTAAGGCAGTGGTAGGTGGAGTCCTACTGATTTTAATGTTGTGTCTACTCCTGCCGTGTCTTATACCCTTAGTAGTTAGGTCTGTGCAAAGCCTGATAGAAAATATAGCAGAGAGGAAGGCTGCTGCACAGATAATGGCAATTTATAAATATAAGGCTCTAGATCAGGGAGAACCAATGCAGGAAGACGAGTGTTGAAGATTCACATCATAGGATAAGTCTGGTCTGGTTCAAAGGTAACTTGTGGTGTATGCAAACCAAGGTTAAGTGATGCCTCAAGTAATTGTAAAATATCAAGAGGCATCAAAGGGGGGAATGTGGTGGAATCTCGGTAAAAATAAATTTAGTAGGCCGAGATTACCACGTGGCATGTGTACGTGCATATGCTGACGTATCGATCAGTTGGTTGCACGAGGCAAGATACGATCAGTAGTGTACGGAGCATGTGCAAGAATACAGGATGTAGTATTCCCCTCCTCCATTGTGCTGGACAAGCCATGCGGTCAAGCAGGAAGTTAATTCTTATTTGTAATGATTGGTCAAGAGAATGTGCGGGTGGAGCTTAATATGGGAGGAGTTATGTGCCTATATAGGGAGCCTGCACTATTGTTCAGGGCTCAGAACTTGCTGTATTTTTGGTGACATTAGTCCCTCTGAGTCCCGATCGGTGATCCAATAAAGAATCTCTTCCTTCCTGAAGAAACCTGTGTCCATCCCTCTGTGCTTTGCTTCCGTCAGTTTCTCCGGTATCAGTAGTTGAATATGTAAAAGAGAAGAATACAGCAAAATATAGTGTAGTATATTCTGTACAGATAAATATATAAATGAACTTACAGAGTGTAGAGCTTGAGTAGCTTTACTTTGATGCACCTGGGCGGTATAATCCCTGCCCAAGTATAACTGGTTTCTTCTTTTTATAAAGTGCTCAATGAATGAGACCTTCAGGCAGAAAGGGTGGCTCATGATAGTATGTGCCCCACCCAAGGACCTTGTAGACAATATTGTCGTGTTTTATGCAGATAGAAATAAAAATATAGTGCTTACTGCTAACAACATACAATCATTAAAACAAAATGAAGAGGTACTAACTAGTGAGGTGCAAAATTAAGTTTTGCTCAGTCCACAGCGCTCAGGTGGTATGTTCCCTACCAAAGGAATGTGTGTCCACGCTCCAACTGAAAAGATCATGGTACGTCCAGGGATATATTTTAAATGAACTATTTTATTTAACAAGTTAATAGAGAAGAATAAATAAAATAGTAAAAGCAATACAAATAAGAAAAAAAAAATTAAAATGTTTCACCTTTACAGAGGCTTTTTCAAAAGTGTTACATGGACTTACATAGCATATATAGGGAGCACATTTAAATGTAACTGTCACATGACGTCATAGTCATGTGATCAATAAATCAAATAAAATACACCTTAAAATAACATTACTTAATTAGTAAACAATATATATATAAGATTTGTATTGATTTTACTATTTTATTCACTCTTATATAGCAATCTAAGAACAGAGCAGAAAGACTAGTTAAAGTACACTGGTGTCAGATGTGGAAACAAATTATACATCTTATATTACAAACACACAAAAAACTACAGTTTAAAGACATTTTAGACAAAAAGGAGGAGATATAAGAATGGGAGGCAAGGGAAATCACAATTACAAAGTGGAAAAGGATCAAAAAGGAGTACGTATACCAGAAACAAAAACCTTTACAACAAGGACAGAAGACAAAGTTGTTAATTTGACTTTCACGTCCACTATGTTCTTAGATGGAATGGAGGCAGGTATGCTGGCAACAATATCATTAATACTTGTATCCCCAGTTAAATCATTGCTAGGAAATAAAACACTGTGACTTGATTTTAAAATCTTTTTTTTTTTTTGCTTAATCATTTAACTTCTTTTTCATAGAATTAGCATGTCATTTTCTTTGTTGCACATAAACTACATCATTTTTATAATAATTATGATTGCGTAAAAGTTTATTCCTTATTCTTTCTGACAGTTCTTCCAACTTGTAACATTTACTTTGATAGAGATGTTCTACAAGGTCTACATAAAGAACCAAACCTTCATATAATTTAATAGATTCTTGAATTGAACATATCTGAACAGATTAGACATCTAATTGCTGTTGGTTGAGTGTCATCAAGACCTATTAAAGATCAAAGAACATGCAGTCCGGTGGGCATTCCAACTATTTATTAAAGTCTTTTCGTGTCCTTGAATAGTACAGGGCTTGACAAATTTGCTTTGAATCTATGAGCCAGCATTTAACTTATACAGATAATGAATGTATTCTAATGTGACACCATAGATAGTTTATGCAATTTGTCAGTTTTTTTTACTAAGCTTTTTGTGGCCATGAACATGCCTTATATTCCTAGAATGAAAGTACCAATGGTTGTCAGCCTTTGAAGGATCAAACGTCTTCACTGATGGATTCATGTTGGTCATTAACAAATCACTTTTACTTTCTTGCTGCATTGATGATCTGAACGTGTACACTCTAACTATCCCTCCTGGGGACAGTTATCAAGCACCTGGCCAAAAGTTAGGACAGTTTAACTATATTGTGTAACATGTTAGAGAGTGAAGTTTGTTTATCACGGTCCAGAAAATCTTGTTTATATTTAAACACTGGATGTGTTAGAAAGCATATACAGCAGTATACTGATTATACGTTTTGAATAAAGAATTTTAAATGATCAAAATTCAAATGATCTATGGACAATACAGGATGTTTGATGTGTGCAAATATGTATGCATCACTTTATTCAAAAGTAACAATCAGTATATTTTTGCACATGTATTATACTTACAGAAATAGAATATAAAGTAAAGTGGATTTTCTGTACCCTTCTAGCTGCTCTATGGGCAATTTAATGTGCTTAAGTCTGTCTAACAAGGTACAGAAAATAAACAGTACTTTATATCATACTCCTGCATTTTGGGAGTTTGTAATTAAAGTGATCGTTTTGTATACTATGGATGCATCATTTATGTCAAGCTAACAACAACACAAATGAAATAAGTAAAAACCGCAGACACAAATAAATCAAAATTATTGTTATTTTTTTTACTTTTAGATTTTAAAATAGCTAATTACCCTACAGTGTGGGCTCAGATGGCTTAACTCTTGTCTTTCACTCAAACAAGATCTCTTTCTCTCAAAGACGAGATCGTTCATGCGCAACGTTTCATCACATAACGTTTATTATTATTATTATTGCCATTTATATAGCACCAACAGATTCCATAGTGCTTTACAAGTCTTAAAGTCCTGACAGCTTGGCGGAGATCATCGGCAGGCATTCGTGTTAAATGGGCTGACAAACAATCAGGCGCCAGGACAAATTTCCTAGTCATCATGGTGACTTGGGATTTTTGTCAAACCCTGGACTAGTTGGTGTTATATAAATCCATATACTTCGTGTAATATAGCTGGTTTGAATATACTTCTGCAGGAAAAAAAATCCTTTCACCATGTTTTTACTTTCTTAAAGGAGCTCTATAGTTTCAGGAATGAAACATGTATTCTTGACACTACAGTGCCTGTGTGGCAATTTAGATCCTCGGTGCCCCTGTCAGAGCAATGTAAAGGTGTTTTTACTCATCTTTTTTTCCACACCATAAAACTTCAATTTTGATGATCTCAGCCAATCCAACACTTTCCGATTGGGAGGCTATTGTGCATGCACAGCAAAACACCACACTGCACCAATCAGAATTAATGCATCTCTATGGGAATCATTCAGTGTCTCCATGTCGAGCGTAGCACAGGAAGCACCTGTAGTGGCCGTGTGAGTGACTGCCACTAGCAGTGCTCTAGGTACCAATGTAAGCACTGCCTTATCTCTGAAAAGGCAGCTTTTACATTGCAAAGCCTGCAGAGACTGACTGTAGACACCAGAACCACTACATTAAGCTGTCGTTGTTCTGGTGGCTATAGTTTCCCTTTAATAGTTAATTTACTCAACTGTTTGACATTTTAAGAATTTTTTTTGTCATCAGCTGTTTGATTGCTTGAAGACACAATTTAAAAAATCCCCGCTTATGGGATTTGTAGTGGGTACCTCTCCGTCACTGGTGTCCAATTCTGAAACACACAGACACACGCAGGGAGATCCTGTCGGAAACATCAAGCTAAGAAATGATGGAAACCAAGAAAATGTCCCCCTCCTCAACACCGCATCTATGATGTTTCAGAATTGGACACCAGTGATGGAGAGGTACCCACTACAAATCCCATAAGCAGGGATTATACCGCTGAACACGCTTTACCCCAGAGCTGGATATAAGCTCCTATAAATGTGAGTTCTCTACCATTATTTTCTATTACGCTCATATTTGAGCTATACATTTTGCACTATTGGTTGTCCCTCTCTTTTATCTTCTATATAAGTGGAACCACTCCAATATCCGAAGACCTTATCTTTGCATTCATCTCCTTAAAGACCAATCGTAAGAACACATAAGTTGGACTTAGCTTTAAAATTTGTCTCTTTTATTGGAATTGGACTTTGCTTATCTCCTATTATTTAATGTGGTGCAGCCTTTTTTATTGTTGTTTTTAGAAATCAATGTAATGCCTGATATTATTGCAATATTGTGAACTTATAGCACCACCCTGTCACATACTGTTAGAATGTTGATCATCCCATGGGCCTTTAAAAAATACATAATTACATATTAATTGTATGTTTCATTACTTTTTTGTTTTAAAGACCTTATGGCCCTATGGTGACTATATAATCCTTCTCTTACAATATTCATCACATATAAAATAAGTTCAAAATCTGAAATGGCCAGTCTATGAACAATACAAGTGGGAAACTATGACATACTTTATTGACTTACATAAAACAAAATTATCTTACTTGCGTTATGACAACTATTAGTTTATGCTAAACACAATATAATGAACAAAACAACTTTTAGATATAGTAAACAAATAACCTTTGAAATGTAAGAGGAAACTTACAACGTTTGAAATTTTCCAGACAACATTTTCAAACCACATTTAAAATGTTCAACAGTTTTTTTGAATCCATGACAATACTGTCTCATTTATTTCAGATGTGACATCCTCCATAGTTTTGCCCTTGACTGCCATTCCATGATTTGCATTTTCAACCAGATGGATTTGTACAGGAGCTTTCATTTTGGTTATTAAATCTGCCATAAGTCTCTAATTAAAAAAAATATACATATATATAAATAAATAATAAACAGTACCTTTCACCATGCGGAAAATAAAGACCTGTCTTTCAGGTTTCTTGATTTATCAATAGCTTGCTTTTGAGATAGCCTATAAGGAGCACAGCACTAAAGTGAACACTCTCCTGTCAATGTTTTTGAGTAGACAAACTGTAGGGTTGTGGACTAAAGTTAAAAGTAGAGTGCCAAACTGAGGAAAAAAATAAAGTTTTGGTTATGGCTGAGTAGGAATTTTTTTTAGATCAGTTCTTCCTGCCTCAGTTTTTCTATTCATATTTAATCCTTGAAAATGTTCTAGATTTTCTATAGCTCACCTCCCTCATAATGATTCTTAAAGTAGACATTAACCCCTTAAGGACACATGACATGTTTGACATGTCATGATTCCCTTTTATTCCAGAAGTTTGGTCCTTAAGGGGTTAAACAACTAGAAGGATTTTCCTACATGACTAACCTGTACTCAAGTACAACTGTAAATAAAGTATTGTGAAAAGAAATCAATTTTGAAAATTAAGATCTATAAAATAAAAATGAATCAAAAAGTTTTAGAAAAACAGGACTCGCTTAAAGGTAACCTTAAGAGGCCAACTAGAGCCCAGGCGTTAGAGAGAAGTCCTGAAACCATGAATTAGCTTGGCCTTATTTTCCATCCTTATGCGGAGAACAAAGAGGATGCCCTAACTGGCAACTTGTCCACAGCCCTGTGGGATCTTAGTCCTTCTCTGAGCTTTGGGGCTATGTAAAATGTCTCCATGATGAGTTTTTAATAACACCAGCAAACCAGAAAACAACACTTTTCAATATTTATAGTTAGAGACATGAAAGATTTGTAATCAGCTTGAAGCAAAGATTTTTGAACATTGCTATCAGGGGAGACTCACAGGGCCACTGTGCAAATAAGAGATCATGGGTCCCCAAACCAGTGCAAGTATTTTGGGATAAACAAGTGATAATGCATTTTGCCTCCCTCCACACTCTTCTCCCCCTTCATTGTGCGGTTCTCACACAGATAATATGAGTGTGCAGCGTAGCCACACATTCATGACTCCTACGAACACAGGGCCATCAAACGGGTCCAGATTTACTTTTAAGAGGTTACTCCAGTCAAAACCAATGTTTTAATAAAACACTATGTTTGGATGGATTAATCTTTGCTGTAATGTTAAGCACTTTATAGTCATAGTCCAGGTCCTGATACTCATAGATTACTTTAACTGGCAGTTTAATATTATTTTAAATAATAATTACCATAAGCAAATGCCTCACCTTATCACACATGTCATCTAAAGATCCTGAAACAAACAGCACTGGGTTTATGATCAGCAAGAGATCTTCATCCCTTAGCTTGTTCTTGGTGTTGGGCGGGTGCAATGGATATGAAAGACAGATCAGCCCACGCACAAATTCATCATCATCTTCAGAAGCCCTCCTCATCACAGCAGCAGCAGCTCGAGATCCCATTGATCGACCTTTGCAAGAAAATAAATCAAATTCTTTTCCTACTAATATTGAAGTATCAGGCACATGTGCATTGCTACAAAATGTTCATGTTTTGCTGTTTTAATATGTGTGATGTCAGCACAATACATTAATAGTAAAACCATGTATTACCTGATATAATTTAATGAAATAAAATGTTACCTAAAGTTGAAGTACAGTCATTGTTTTATCCTATCTTAAAATGTTGTTGGTTAAATTGCATATAATTCATTTAATATCTGCACTCCACTAAATCTGTGGTTTCTAACATAGTCTCAAAGCACACGAACAATCCAGAATTTAGGCGTATGTTAAGTATGTTCCAATGAGGATTTTACAACATCCTAGAGGATTGGTGCGCCTTGAGGATTGCGTGGAGAGCAGGCCTAGAATAAATTATGAATCTCCCCCAATTAAAAAAAAAAGTGGATTTTGTATTAAAATCTCCATGGTGTAACTAACTAAAATATGACAAATAGAATATGCAATAATGATATTTGGTAAATTGAACAACTAACCTGCAAGAAACACACCAGCTATTTTACGCTCCTTGCAAGACTTCAGGTATTCCTAAAAATGTACAAAGTCAGGAAAAACATTTTCCAAAACTTAAAAATAAAAGAAATTTAATTTTAAGGTTAAAAAAAAAAAACAGCAGTTTGAACAGACTTTTCTAATGTAAGTAAATATTTTGCATTATTTACAAACAGAATTCCTACATGGAAAAACAGATTAACACCAGGTATGAATTTTGGATTAGTTCGTGCCTAAAGGGAATGAGTTAGTCATTATAATAAGATTACTGTTATTATAGATTAGAGTTAGAATTAGTCATTTACTGCAATACATTATAAATAAAAGTACGTAATAAGATTAACCACGTTACATACCAGTACAGCAGTGTAAACTTTTGTTCGGTGAGCAAAATTGAGGCCTTTACATGTAAATCTAAGACACAGGACTCTGTGTGTGGCCAGATACTTTGCTAAAGACACCAACGGAGGATAGTTCATGTCTCCACCGGCGCCATGTGTTAAAATGACTGCATACATTAATCGACTGCAAGTGCTGGGGACAGTAAATACAGCATCAACATCCTTTTTGCCAAAGGGTATTTTTATACTCTCCTATAAATATAGAAACAACAAATAAAAAATATATACTCATATTTGCTATAAATCTGCAGGTTTTGCAGCTTCATCAGTGAATTTTGCATACACTTTGCATAGACCAGGAAATGACTCTGCCTATTATGTTGCTCTATTAGAATGGCATTCTAAGAACCACAACGAGTAGAGTGTGGTACAGTGATTATAGTGCCATAAGTACTCTAGCTCCATCCCATGATATGTAATCAAATGATTTTTGCATGTTTTGTAACTTACTTGTAGAGCTAAACGCAAAACATTGTTCCAGCCCACACGCCAAGGGATCCAAGTAGAGTCAGATGAATCATTTGGATCCCTTGGAATGCAGTCTGGAAAATTGTATTGTGTTTAGCTCTTCAGGTTATGTTAACTAACTTTAGCCAGAAAGAAGGAAATCTGAATGTTTTGAACCGTGAGAAATATTATATATTCCAATTATTTGCAGGCGTAGCGGAATTTGCCATATGTTAACTTCATTGAATGTGACTTGACAATTACTTTACCACTGCAGCCGATGAATGATGCCCTACGTGGAGAACACTTCAGCGATATCATGACAATCAGAAGGAAAGTGTCACACCATTATTAAAATGGTTTGATTCCTCACCCTGGCATAGTGCTAAGGAACTCCAGCCACCATAAACACTACAGCATGTTAAGCCCATTCAAAGCATACTTATCACTTTTTGGAGTCTTTGCATATTTTGCAAAGACCCCAGCAGGTGACATATCTGCTCAGACTCCAGTGGCTGCAGTGGAAGGTCGTCATCTTCTTCCTGATAACAGCTTCATCTGCACACCATGGGAGCCTCCATAGATCATGTCACCCAATGATGGAGAAGATACCTGAATCCCACACCTAAGACTTGTGACAACTGCGAGGATTGGAAAGAATTGGAAAGCTATGTCTTACTGTATCCTTAGACTGCATTGGAATTTCAATGAAGTTCCAACACAGTTACCATGAGTGTTTCATAGAGATCATAGTGTAGATTGGATTAGCAGTATTTTGGCATAAAGATTATATAAAGAGCTTCTTCAACTTTCAATACGGAGGCAGGCAACCTTCAGAACTGCACAAGTGGTGGACTACATCTCCCCTGACGCTTTTCTAGCAGTTTTATGGCTGAAAGAGCATTATCAGAGATTTAGTCCACAACATCTGCAGTGGCAATGCTTGCCTACCACTTTTTAATGAAATTGTGGAGCTTATCCCATGAATTACTCTACATCAATGCACTCTGCGCACAGCAGAGGTTTTGCATAGCAGTTGAAATACAGTTTTCGGCTGTCTACTCTAGAAAGCTAACAGCTGAACTGCAACACACAGAAACCGTGGCAGTGTAGTCCCTAATGGTAGTCCCACTCTCTGAAGCATAGCAGGATACACTGCAGTAGTGAGGGAGCACAGGTGCTTTATTTAAATTTTTCTACAAAAGTAACGAAGATTAAAGGGACACTCCAAATAACATCTGGACTACCAAAACTGTTGTTTCTATATATAAATTTCCTGAGCCAAGTTGTCCTTAAGCCTCTCCAGGTCTAGGATATACAGTTTGTAAATAATTACTTATTTTTAAAATCTTGACTTGGAAATATTGTGCCATTATAGTGATACTACTTTAGTATGACTGAAGCTTTATTAAACAGGCACAAAAAAAGTCACCATGATTGTTGAAAAGGACGTATGGGGACCTACACACTGTAGATTTATGGGGGGCTTAGTATTACTCCAGTATTCACCGTTCAGATTGCTCTGATACCACTAGTTCATGGAATGAAGGAGCCTTCGGTTAAATACTGCAGTGCTACAGACACCATGAAGCCACAGCCATGGTACAGACACTTGTCTGATAAGATTTGTTGTCACAGAAATGGGAGGAGCCAGGTAAAGCAGTATAGTGCCAGAAACATAAGTTCTGGGTCTGCGTAAATAGTAATTTCAGGTCAAAGTTATAAATCTGCAGAAACATTTAATTGGTTTCCATGGAGAATGCGTCACATTTAGACCTTTGCCTAGATTTACTCCTTAATTATATCTCTTATAGTATCCTCACAATCTTGTAAAACCATGGAAACAATATGCTTGCAACTACATTGAAAACTAAATATAAAATGCTTGACTTTACCTTTAAAACGAAATATAAAATGCTTGACTATATCTTTAAAACGAAATAGCAGCTAATAACAACGCTGCCTTTTTTTATAAACTGGAAAAATTACTACCATGATGTGTGTTATATATAATGTAAACAATGTGAACATTGAATTTGTATCCATTTTGTACTCCCTAAACTGTGCAAGAAAAAAACATGCTAAGGTTAATGCACTGTTGGTATTGTATGAATTAAAACACTGCAGGAGTTAATTGCAGCAATCATGCTGAAACACAGTTATCTAAAGATCAACAGCACGTGTCCCCCAGTGGAAATGAGGCTGGCAGGGAACTCATGAAACAGGCGAACTGTACCTCCATATAGTCACACATGTTTCACCAGGCTCAAGGCAGCTCGGGCGTGTCCTAAATCTTCTTTAGAGAACAGGAAACGGGGAGGAGTTAGGAATTCTAGTTACTGCACATCATACATTTATATACCTAGATATATAAGTATTTTAAAATAAATGTATATCATTCAATATATAGATTATAGCAAAACAGAACATTTAAAATTTGTAATCTATAGATGAACAGGAACAACCTCTACTTCTTGGGATTTATCTACTAAACAAACATTAAATAGTAGCAAATTGAAAACCAGCAGTAGTCACAGCCTGGGTATTTTAACCTCAAGTTTACAATCCAGTTTCAAAAGAACACACCAATGTTTATATTAACAATTTAGTAGATATACCCCCAATGAAAACATGCATGCATTTATTGCTGCATTTGCTCACTCTCAGCTTTCAGTCCAAGTTCTCCAGACTGAAAGCCAGTAAACACACAGACAGGGCTAAAGTGGGCTCTGTGGGCTGGGCACGCACCTAGAAGCAACCCTGTGTACTCTAGCAAAGCAAATCTGCCACTTCAGTTAAATATGTGATTGACAACTCTGATAGCCAGCCACAGAGGTGTTTCTGACACTAGTTATAGAAGTGCCTATTTTTTATTTTTTTTTAAATTCTTTATTTTTTTATTTTCATTGTGCAGGTGGGTACATGTCAGTTTCCAACGCCACAACAGCGTATTTACATATGGCTATACATGCTTAACAGTGGCAAGAGTACGTGCACATTTTTGAAATACAAAGGCAAGAACAATATAACAGGCTGAACCATAGTGGAATGCTACTGCAGTGTAGATTCTGGTGTGTGTGAGATAAGTTACATAGCGGTATACTACTGCAATGTTGGGAGTGCTGGAACAAGCTAGTCTGCTTGAGAGTCTAGGCAAGTGCTTAAAACATGAGGAACCGCTGATCTAGGGGGTTGTGGTGAAGTATGTTGAGTAAATGAGCGGGTGGGTAGGTTACTCTGGATGGTTAAGTCAGTTAGCCCTTTTGTTCATAACTATGTTGGGCATGTCGACACAGGACTCCTAGTTTCAGCATCCTTAGAGTCATTGTGGAAGTCAATTGTGGAAGTCAAAGGGGGAGGGTTAGAAAATAATTACAGCGCAAGAAGAATCAATGAGCTCTCTGAGAGCTCTGTCTAAACGTGTGTAGGTGTCAGGGCAGTGGCGACCTGATCAGAGACCGGTTTAATATCAGTCACTACGTGACCTGTCTGTATGGCATTATGTCGTCTAACTGTGAGTGGGTGTTGCGTGCCGAGTGGCCAGGCTAGATATCATGCGCTGCCTCTCTATACATGCGACATGCAAAGAACAATTCTGAACAAACTAACCAAAACTAAAAAGTAAACACGTTTGTAACATGGGCCATAGGGTTTCTGGAATTGTAGTTATAGATACGTCCATACATGTTAGTCTAGCGACACACTGCGGTATGTAAATCTACATTTATCATGGCAACAGACGCGATATACATGGCAGAGTGTTATTGGTAAGTGATCGCTATCTAGTCCAGACAGGCAAAAAAAAACGAATGCTCCGCTGCGTTATCGTGGGAGATACAAAAGGGCAAACAATAATAAAAAAAAATAAAAAAAAGGAAAAGGCAAAGGAAAAGTCTCTGTTAACAGAAGCTTGTGGACTTCGGCTGGTCCCCCCTTCCCCTCCTTGCGGTCATCCAACCTTTATCTCGGCTGGGCTATAGGCCTGCATGTACAGATATTTCGTGCCGTGCAGCCAGAGTTCTGTCGGGTGTCAGGTGCAACGTAGACCGGCACAGTCCCCAAGTTTGCCAGGGATGTCCAAGCCGTGAGTGCAAGTTTGCCCACGTGTGTTGGATTTGGCCGATCAATGATATCGTTCGTCTGAAGACCTCTGACTAGCCCGCCAGTGTGTGTCTGCGGGTGTCAGTCATGTTAGTGAGGGTAGGTGCTATCCAGACTGGCTGTGGTGATGAGCGTGAGTCGCTGCAATCCGGGGCTGCGAATAACATGTGGTATAAGTGTCTCAGAAGTGTCTGCTGTGGTGACCTACATTCAGCGTTCAGAGATTGTATATTCCCAGGGGTGCCGTGTTTAGGTAGTGATCGCGGCGTAGGATTCAGGGGTTGAACCTCTCGGGATAAACAAGTTGATTTTTGCCAGGTCCCAGGTCTGCGCTGGGGAGGTCGGGTGAAGAAGCCTTTCCTGAGTGAGCGAGGTCTGTGGGATACCCAGAGTCCGCAGGAGGTCAGGGGCTTTCTCAATGTTGTGAACCAGCTGAGAGGCCGTTCCTTGCTGTACACTGAGGGATCTGGGGTTCCACCAGCGGTAGTTGATGCCGTGCCGTTGGAGCAGAGAGGTAAGTGGTTGGAGCGATCTGCGCCAGGCCAGGGTGCTACCGGACAGGTCAGCAAAAAAGGTCAGTCCCTTGTTTTCAAACTGCATAGGGGTTTTACCTCGGAGGGCCGAGAGAATCATCACTTTTTCCTTCCCATTTTGGAAAGTAATTATAGTGTCTCTTGTCGCTGAGGGTGGTGCTCTGGGGGGTTTAGGGATTCGAAATTGGTCCACAGGGGTAATGGCTGTGGCCTGTCCGCTTGGCAATATGGGTGCTATCATACGCTGTACAACTTGCGGCAGGCCGGCCTCAGGAATCTCATCAGGGAGCCCTCTGACCTTTAGATTTTGTCTTCTTCTACTGTCTTCTTGAGCTGCATAGCGGCGTTCATGTAACTGGTTCTGCTTTTGCAGGTCCAGTACCGCCTGTTGCAGGGACGATAGGTCCTGCTGGTGTCCTTGAGACGTTGTCTCTAGCGTGCTGATGCGGCCTGTCAGGCACTGCAGTTCGCCCCTGAGGGCAGTTACATCCGCCAATATATTCTTTTGGAGATCCGCCAGTAGTGCCTTCATAACCCCTGTGGTTACCAACTCACCGTCGGTTCCCGTTGGCTTGGCCTTCCGCGTTATGGCCGGGGCTGTCATGTAGTCGTCCTCAGCGTCTCCAGAGAGATCGTCCGAGAAATCGGAACAGCCGCCATGTAGGGCCGCCATGTTAGGCTCCATCGTGCCTCGTGCTTGCCTCCACATTTCTCCGATCGTCCGTTCAGATGTATGTCTGTCTGGTCCCGGTTTTTTATTTTTCTTCCCCATTGTGCTTTGCTTTGGGGGGGTCTCCGCCGACGTTTGGGGGTCTGTGGGTAGTATTTGGTTCGATTTTCGACGTTTGGTGCGCGGAGCTCCAGATTCCTGCGACTGCTGTCCTTCCTAGCCACCGGAAGTCTCAGAAGTGCCAATTTTAAATAAAAATCAGCACTTATATCGTGCAAAGAAGTGAATTTTCATGAATCTCCCTGTAAGTTCACTATAAATAAGTATTTAGTAAATAAACCACAACTGGTAGACACATGCAGACATATTTGCAGGATTATTTACTAAAGTAAGAATTGCCAGGAATTTAAAGTGAAATTCAATTTTTAAAGCAAAATATTTGACCTGGAAGCATAGTTGACTTGGATAATGTTTCCAATTCAGCTACTTTGGCTTTAGATTTAAAATTCACTTTGAATTCCTGCCAATTCTCACTCTAGTTGTTTGTGTTGCTGCTGGAATATTAGCCAGCCCGAACGAGAGTTATATGGCATTAGGCAAATCTGTGCATAAACAAAATATTTCATTAGTATTTAATGCATGCTGGAAAGGAGTGTCCAATTGGTCCTGCCTCTGTGCCCCTAACCCTGTCACTGTGACATTTTTAGTTGGTTACAGCGGTCAGCTGACTGCTTTAGCCAATCAGCAGTGCCCCTGCCCAGATGCATTCCTGATGCCACTTGGGGACCTAGGGATCTGGCGCTGGTGGCAGCCTTTGAGGTGACACCGTTTGAGAGGTATGAAAGCACCCAGGGTCCTCCAGGCACAATAACAGCTTCATTTAGATGAAGTTGTTATGGTGACCATAGTGCTCCTTCAAATTAAAATTATTAAACTGAAACTGTTATGAGAAAACCAACTTACCTTAAATAGCTCACATGGTATATAGCTCCCATACACATTGAATACACCATGTATAATAAAGATACATGGTGTATTCAGTGTAAAATATAAAGACTTACTCACTTGTCCTCAGTTACAGGCTACAGCTCAGGTTCATGGGTGTAACTTTTCGGCTAACACCCACCTCCAGACAAACACCTCCTGCTGGAGGTATTCCCAAGCAGGGCAAACTTTGTCAGTAATGTCAGCACGCTGGCTTTGTATCTATAAGCACTGTGGTTGCTATGATTGAGAGTAGAGGGACCTCCTGTAGAAGGCCTTTTCTGCTCTCCCTTGTCAGTTAATGACGAGGGATTGACTGACAGCTGGGGGAAAATACTATTTCTAAATAGGTTTTTCTCCTAATCTATACATCTAGACAGCCACTGGAGGTAGACTTAGAGCTGCTATGTAAACATTGCAGCACTAAGTGTAAAAGGGACAGTGCACCCAGACCACTTTAATTAGCTGAAGTGGTCTGGTTGCCTATAGTGCTCCTTTTATAATTTATTAATAACCCTACTTTTGTTGTGATTGCTTTATCTTGGCTACCACAAGTCCTTTTCATTGGACTGTAGAGACTCTGTATGGCTGCAGCTATGCTAGTAGAAATGTTTAACCATTATCAAAAATAGTTCAGAGGCGCCACCTATAAGCTCTCTATGACAGGAGGTAAAAATTTAACAAAGGGAAACTCATGCAGGGTGATTGGATAGAATCTGAAATTGGCTAGAAAAGGTGATATGAAAAAGCATACAACTATCCCATTCTTTATCATCTTTTCCTATTTCTCAACAGCTTCCTTTTACTTTTCTTTGCCATTGATTCTAGCATTGCAGGGCCACGTACGTTGATGTTTAAGGTCAATGTCTACTCCATTGCATATGAATTGGTTGTCACTTGACTATATTTTTATGTTGATTGCTATTCCAACGTATCATCCAAAGAATGTTAGCTTACAGTACCACATAATGATGGCAGCACATATCATGAATGAGGAACAGTATTAGCACTGTAAACCATTGAATAAGCTTTGGCCAACACTAAATTTTTGTGTTGCCTCTATGCCTG